AAATAGAATTCACAACGATCTGGACAAACTGGAGAAATGCTCCGAAATAAACAGGACGAAATTCAATAAGGACAAATGCAAAATACTTCACTTTGGAAGGAATAATCAATGCACCAATACAAAATTGGACTACACTGTCTAGGAATGAGTAATAGAGAAAAGGATCTGGGGATTATAGTGGGTCATATAGTGAGTCCACTAGAAGATATACCCAGCAATACTCGAGTTCTTAACTCAAATAAGTTTTGTTTTTCTTAATTTAAATCATTTTCTCAGGTGGGGCTGGAGATGAGAAGTTCAGTGTGCAGGCTGCCCTGGGGAGTGAGGACTACCCCAGTCCTCTCTCACAACAGCAACTTCGGGACAGGTAAGAAGCATTTATCTATAGCTGCTGCAGCTCCAATGGGCACAGCTGGGGGACAGACAAACTCTCCAAAATATATAGTAGAGAGCTGTCCCTTTCTCCACTCTTGCCCCCCTGCTGGCCCAGTGGGGTTATAGCTGTCCCAGTCCCCATTTCTGGCCCCTTGCTGCCCCCCTTGTCATCATTCTACAGTATAACTGTGCCTCCCACCAGACCCTTCCCTTTCCATTTTATGAGAAACAATCCAATTCCAGGCACATCCCATTGTCCTGGCACAACAAATCCTAACCTTGCTTTAAGTTATGATAAGAGGAAGCTGCATACCAAATATGGTGTTCCCAGCTGTTACTGTTTAAGAGGAGTTTTTGAACAAATGGACTCACAGACAGCTGATGGATGGATGGATGCACATTTCTAAAATATATAGTAAGATAAAGATAATGTAGAATTGTTGCAAAAAAGGACATCATCCTAGGACAGGGGTGAGCAAAAGGGCCTCCGTGGGCCAGATCCGGCCCGCCAAGTAACATAAGAACGGCCGTACTGGGTCAGACCAAAGGTCCATCTAGCCCAATAGCCTGTCTGCCGACAGTGGCCAGCACCAGGTGCCCCAGAGAGGGTGGACCGAAGACAATGATCAAGCAATTTGTCTCCTGCCATCCTTTTCCAGCTTCTGACAAACAGAGGTCAGGGACACCACCATTCAACATTCCAGAGCAAGATGCTTTTACAACACAGCATTTCTCCTCCATAGGATCCTTAATTTTCCATTACAGCTTGGGAGTCTGTATATCAGAAATACACCTATTAACGGTCCCTATATAGGTTAGAAATGGTTCAATGGCTAAGTACGTTATAGCAAGAAAAGGTGGGATGAACAGTTTTTGGAAGAAGTCTGCTTCAGGAGTTTGGTATTTGGTTTTCCTGTAGATTACTGACCTACTACCAATTCATTTTAAAAATACATCTCCAAGTGAAGCAACTGATGCAAGTACATAATTTTTTGTATAATATTTTGTGGGAGGTTTTTTTTCAGGAGAAAGGAAGATTTGTGTTCTAGTGTTTAGGAAGACCTATGATCTTACTTTGAATGTGATGGCACAATTTGTCCATTAATGGAAACATACTGTGCCCTGTAAGTTTTAAGGATAACTGAGGGTGTTGACATCAAGAGCCTAATCAGGAGTACACTGAATAGGAACTACACACTGGTAATTTGGTTCCTTATTCTTTGATGGTGCTATAAGAGTATGTGGAGATGTTATTTATTGAGCTGCTAATACCCTTTTATTTGTGAACTAATTAGTTATGTTCTTTCTGGTTTGTTTTATATGTAAAGACTAATCTGAAACTGCTTTACCGCAGTTCTGCTCTTTATAGACCATTACTATCTTCTATTTAAAATAAACCTGGCTAGTTAAGCTTTAATTCAGGCCCACATATCTCTTTCACTCTCTTTTAAATTAAAGCAAATCCTGAGAAGTAAAAGTGATGAGGGCATATGGATGGAGATTCCCTGTAGTCAATCTGGCAGTTCTGCTGAGCTGTAGCTACACAGCATGTAACAGCACTTTGGGTGGGTTCTTTTGTGTGACACTGCCTGTAACAGTGCCTGCCAAACAGAAGTTTCAGACAAGTGGGTGGGTACCTAGCAACTTTCATCTTGGAGGTGCCAATGCAGAAGCTGCTAATTAGTGAATACTTTGTATCAACTGTATGTAGAATTCCATAGCTTGCAGTTTGAAAAATATACATTTCCTTTGTGCCAAATTGGACTCCATATGAATATTGGGGAGATCCAATTAATGTCATATAGCCTTGCATACTGTTTTTGTACATATTATATTATGATATGCTTAAATTAGGCTTTCTTTTCAGGTGATGTGTTCGAGTTTAAAAGGGGGCGCGATAACCCACATGCCTTCCATCTGAACCAGGTTGAAGACTTATTTTATTCTAAACTAGAGTATTCAGATAAGGATATCAATGACCTCATCTAGCTTCTTGCCTTTTTTATGATTCCCCCCTGCACCCTCCAGCTTCTGTCATTCCTGGCTGCTCACAGCATGCAGTGCTTCAAAGCGCCATGCGCCGCTCGCAGGCTGGGGGCAGAGCAGAGAAGGCTTTGCGTGCTCCCCCGCCCCCAGGCCAATTGCGCGAAGCCTCCTCCCACACTGCCAGGAGCATGTGGCACTTTGATGCGCTGCATGCTGCTCGCAGGGCATGGGGGGGAGAGCGAAGGAGGTTTTGCGCGCTCCCCCGCCCCCTGGCCAATCAGGGCCTGGGGGCGGGGGAGCTGCATGAGGCTTCCTTTGCCTGCCCCGGTTCTGTGAGGAGCCTGCAGCACTTCAAAGTGCTTCAAAGGCAGCACTTCAAAGGCGGTAGGAGGCTTCGCGTGATTGGCCTGGGGGCGGGGGAGCTGCATGAGGCTTCCTTTGCCTGCCCCGGTTCTGTGAGGAGCCTGCAGCACTTCAAAGTGCTTCAAAGGCAGCACTTCAAAGGCGGTAGGAGGCTTCGCGTGATTGGCCTGGGGGCGGGGGAGCATGCCAAGCCTCTTCCAGGGCATGGGTGTCTAGTGAGAAGGGGGGAAAGGGGCTCCCCCAGCCCCAGACCAATCGTGGTCTGGGGGTGAGGTATCCCCACCCCTTCCCGTTTAGGCCCCACCCTTCCAGGATGACCCGAGGCTACTTCAAAAAATTTTCAAGTGGCCCCTGGACAAAAATTATTGCCCACCCCTATCCTAGGATGTATTAGCAAGTGTTTTCTAAACAAGACATGACAAGTAATTCTTCCACTCTACTCTGCACTGATAAGGCCTCAGCTAAAGCAGTGTCCAATTTTGGGCACCACACATTGGGAAAGATGTGCACAAGCTATAGAAAGTCCAGAAGAGACCAACAAAAATGATGAAAAGTCTAGAAAACATGAGCTACAAGAAAAGATTAAGAAATTGGTAGGAGAGGAGTTAGTTTGGAGAAGAGATGACTATAGCACAATGTGAAATTAATAATTTCCTTAAGAAATTATTTATCTCTTTTGTCAGATGTAACCACACAACTGCCAGGGCTAGAGGGAAGGCATCAACATCAGATCTGCAACATTGATAGGGAAGAGCTGTATCTTGGTCACAGTTACGTTAGCCACAAAACCAAAGCCTTGTGAAAAGACAGATGAGCTGCACACTGCAAAGGTGAAAGAAAGTGCCACGATATTTGCCCTTGATGTTCTAATCTTTAATTGATAAACTCCACAAAGAAATAAACAACCTCTGACTGTCAGTAGCCTTATTGACAGCTCATCAGCTTAGCAGGCTGCAAACCTCATTTCAGGAGGAGAAAGCTAGCGCAATACCTTCCTTCAAATGTCTCCCTGCTTTCTGTGTTATAGAAGAAGGAAGTGCCTGAGAACAGCCTGTTGTGAAGACCTGAAGAGGAGACATGTGATGTACACATGCCAGAAATGCTAAGCACTGAGCAGACAGAGAGGAGAGCTGCTGCTCACAAGTGAAACGTGCCCTTTTGTTTAATCTACCATTATGTAATGTCTCCAAATGGAATCAAGTTAAAATAAATAAAGCAGTTCCTCTGAGAGCATGAAGGTGCAAAGTCCAATATACCAAGCAGGCTGCTAACAGGCCAGGAGATCATTATTTACTGCGAATGTCTGCCTGGGAAAGTTTCGAATACATTCCCTCTGGGTACGTCTACACTAGCCCCCTAGTTCGAACTAGGGAGGCTAATGAGGGCAACTGAAATTGCTAATGAAGTGTGGGATTTAAATATCCCGTGCTTCATTAGCATGTTCCCGGATGGTTGCCATTTTGGAAACTGACTAGCTCGAAGTAACTTCCCGCGTCTACACGCAGCAGAGAAGCGCAATTCCGAGATAAACCCCTTAGTTCTAATTAACAGTAAACCCTCATGAGCTTCATTAGCAATTTCGGTTGCCCTCATTAGCCTCCCTAGTTCGAACTAGGGGCCTAGTGTAGACGTACCCTCCGTCTTTGTATTTTGGTTGCTGGTGGAAGCTAGAGAGGATAAAGCATTCTTCTATGATGTATCCCCCTCTTATCTCCATGGTCAGCGGATCATGGAGCTGTTCTTTTAGCTTCTCATAACTGGAATTGCAGGAAACTGGGCAATAGCAATTGTGATGATGCACACAGGGGATGGCAGGAGAATATGGGGAGGAGAAGCAGCTGCAGCAGTACACAGCAAGATCAAGATGCCCCACTCTGTCAGTCACCGTTGATGAGACACAGACCTACAAACCATGATCCCAAGCCCATTCACAGGCTGGACTATGACTTGGTCTGTGCTCCCGGTAGGAGAGCAAAGAGGGGCTATCGACTTGGGTCTGCACAAGGAGCAGTAAGAAGTCACTGTGCACCTACCAGGAGCAAGAGGGCGGACTGAATGGAGCCTTGACTCTAGCCCCCACTGGCGTCCTGAACAGCTGAACCAGAGTTGGATCAAAGGACATGCCAGCAGCAAATTACCCCCTCTATCCCCGAGTGGCTCAGAGGGCTGCCTGCATCACACGGCTCCTAGCATATGTACATAGATACTATAAATAACTTCATTATCTGTAGGAGAGAGGCTTATCATAATTCACTCCAGGTAGAAAAGGAACTTACCAGCGCTGACTGTGATAGCTTCAATGAACTGTTCTCTCCAGCTGTTGGTTCCAACCACAAGGGCTAGGTTTGTCTTCTTAATGAGCTTGTCAACAGTATTCTGCAGATGGAAACAAGTAGAACCAAATTAACATTGGTTTTGGAACAGGAGATCATGGGCAGAAATAAAAATCCTTGTGGATTTACATTGTACATTTATGGAAAAGATCTTCCCCTCAGAACAAGAGAACCAACAGCAAAAATGACAATATGTATGCACACGACATCCCATACTGCATTATAAAGAACTCTTCAAAATATACATACTAGAGAAGATTGCTAATCTGCACACTTTCTTATCAGAACTGAAAATAAGTGCTCTCTCTAAATGTACAAGCCCTTTTTACAGCATTTGCTATTAAACCCTGCTTAAGAATTTAGAACAAAATACAGGACTATGTAGCACTTTAAAGACTAACAAGATGGTTTATTAGATGATGAGCTTTCGTAGGCCAGACCCACTTCCTCAGATCAAGGAAGTGGGTCTGGCCCACGAAAGCTCATCATCTAATAAACCATCTTGTTAGTCTTTAAAGTGCTACATAGTCCTGTATTTTGTTCTAAATTCTTAAGCAGGGTTTAATAGCAAATGCTGTAAAAAGGGCTTGTACATTGCTAATGCTGCTATTGTTATAAAATAGATCAAGGAACTTTTATTTGTTTATTTGAAAGCACTATAAATAATTCAAAGTAAATCAAGTATATTGTACATATCCACTCTCTGCCCTTTTACAGCATTTGTACACTTGCTAAACCAGAAGCTTTGGTCACTAATGCAGAATCATAACTAATGTTGTAAATGGCTGGCAGAAAAATTCTCAATGGAAATTAATCCAAGAATTTATCAATGTGTTACAGTATAACAGGGTGTGGCAAAGTACCTCTTCTGCCACATCAACATTTCTCCAGAGAGGGAGAGGGGAGTGATAGGGGCTGAAGGAAATCACTCCTGCTCCAGAGGGCTCACATTGGGACTTTGGTTTATTTTCAGGATTTACCAGTAGAATCTCAGGCTAGGCCTAAATAGTTTCCTTAAGCACACAGAAGAAATAAGTCTCCTTGTCCCTAGCAGAGCACCCATTTTCTGGGTTGACATCTAGTTACTGCTTTCCCTATAGGTAGATAACCAATTTTTTACCTAGACAATGGTTTTTCCCCCTCCTGGCTAGGTAGTCATCCCCCCCCCCCTTCTCTCTCACAAACTTGAAGAGGGTTCTTAAAGGTGTGTGTTTGTGTGCATGGAAGGTGCTTAATTGGACTCAGATGTTTCTCATTAACCTGCAGTAAGCTCTTTTCAGTTGAAAGGAAAAAGGGCCTGATATTCCTGACTTCTGTTATGTTCTTCTAGTTGTCAATGCTGACTGTCACAAGTGGTCACAACAGGCAGCCAAGAGCACACCAAATGCACCTACGAAAGACTCTGCCACTGTCCCACTTACATGGGGCTGTTTTTTTCAATTGACTTTAAAAGAAAGGATTAAATTGTCGGTCTTAGACCATGATCCTGCACAGGCTTAACTTTACACACTCAGATCAACAAGACCACTCACATGTGCAAAGCTAAGCACGTGTGTAGTATATACAACATCAGGACTTGGGGCCACAATTTCTTTCTTAAACAGAATTTTTAGTCTGGGCATTTTAAGCCCAGCTAAGGATCTGGCTTGTCATATTGTTCTGTTTTGTAATAAGGGTCTGTATCAGTGGTGGACAATAATTTTCACAGGGGGGCCACTTAATGAATTTGTATCAGAGGGGTAGCCGTGTTAGTCTGAATCTGCAAAAGCGACGAGGAGTCCTGTGGCACCTTATAGACTAACTGAAGTGTAGGAGCATAAGCTTTCGTGGGCAAAGACCCACTTCGTCAGATGCATGACGAAGTGGGTCTTTGCCCACGAAAGCTTATGCTCCTACACTTCAGTTAGTCTATAAGGTGCCACAGGACTCCTCGTCGCTTTTAATGAATTTGATACATGGTCACGGGCTAGCTCCACTCTCTGGGAGGGTGAGGCCTGGGAGAAGGGGTGGGGGAGTAAAAACACAGCAAAGGGCCCGTGGCTATTGGCCCCACTGCTACAGTGTTGCCTGGCAGCTGCATGGGGTTGCTGTGGCTATTTGAAAGGTTCACAGCTCTGGCCCCTGCTGGAGTGACCGGGAGCAGTGAGCAAATTAATTAGGATCCTGCTGCCTCAGCCACCTTCTGGAAATTCAGTGGCACAGGCAGCAGGATATAGATAGAAAGTGACCAGATGCCCTCCATGGGCTGGATCTGGCCCTCAGGCCACACCTTGGTCTATATCGATAGTTTATAATCAAGAGAAAAATGATACAGTTGCATTTCTTATTTCCTTTGCTGTTGCTCCTAGAACACTGGGAGAATCAAGGCTACTTTGTTACTGTTGTGCTGTAATTTTTGTATGCCAGTTTTCATTAGCACATGTACTCTGGAAATCTCTCCTGCACTTTATCTCCATCTGTTTTGTTACTACTGAGTTTCCTGCTTTTCAGTTTTTGGGATGTTTCTTAAATACATAGTTTGACAAAATTAACACTTTGGGATTTTCTAAACAACAGTTAAGTTACAGCTGTAGCAACAGCTGGACAAATCAACAGCTGACTAATGTAGCTGATACATAGAGGCTGTGTCTAGACTGGCAAGTTTTTCCGGAAAATCAGCAGCTTTTCTGGAAAAACTTGCCAGCTGTCTACACTGGCCGCTTGAATTTCCGGAAAAGCACTGACGATCTCATGTAAAATCATCAGTGCTTTTCCGGAAATACTATGCTGCTCCCGTTAGGGCAAAAGTCTTTTTCTGAAAGACTTTTGTTTAAAAGGGCCAGTGTAGACAGCATAGTACTGTTTTCCGCAAAAAAGCCCCGATTGCGAAAATGGCGATCGGGGCTTTTTTGCAGAAAACTGCGTCTAGATTGCCACGGCCGCTTTTCCGCAAAAAGTGCTTTTGCGGAAAAGCATCTTGCCAATCTAGACGTGCTTTTCCGAAAATGCTTTTAACGGAAAAGTTTTCTGTTAAAAGCATTTTCGGAAAATCATGCCAGTGTAGACGTAGCCAGAAAGTTTCTGTCCTGTCTCATAGCAAGTACAGGTGGTGATTTCCTTTGATAAACATGAATGATGCTGTCTGTACAAGTCTGTGAAAGAGGAACCATCAAGTTATTGAAGCCCCAAATTCAGGTTGTGTGAAAATATTTTTAAGGAAGATGAATAACAATAAATTCATCCCTATGTGGTGTTGGTGGCAGCCCAAATATAGCAGCCTTGTGCTAGTGTCTGGGGGGGCTCAACTCTGCATGGTGCTGAGCTCTTAGCCCCCCTGATCCAGCTGAGCAAGGAAGCACACAAGTATGCCCTTTGACTTCCATGAGGCTGCAGTGATTTATAGTAGCTGCAGACTTGGTCTGACAGTGATGCTGAACACTCTAGTTTCACTGCCCAAGCCAAGTGAAATGCCAGAAATAAACCCATACCAGTGTTGACAAGTCCATGGTTTTGCTGGTGCTGTGACATCACAGCAGTTGCTGAGAGGTGGCAGTGGCCCCAGCTGTGCTGTACTCAGCCACTGGTGTTCCTTTTTTGAATGGAGGGCAGAAATTTTTGCTGCTCCAGAAGTTCCCGATGATGCCTCAAGTTGCTTCTATGGGGCCTCTCCCACAGAGGACGTAACGGGCCATTAGTGAATTTGATTTTGGAGTGTAAGGGTTGCAAATTCACCAAAAACATGAACGCCCCCTGCCCCAGTGAATTTTTCTGTATAGAATTCTCTCTGGTTACGTCCCTACCATATGAAATCTAGGCTCCTAACTCCTCCTGTTCCAATCCCAAACACCTTGTTATGGTGCCAATTAAGTACTCTGCCTCAGCAAAGCACTTAGGCATTAGTTCGAATCCCATTGAAGTCGCAAGAATGTAAGCATGTGCTTGAGTTCTTTGCTGAACAGGGATGGATTTAAGCATGTGTGTCAATTCTTTGCTGAATTGGAGCCTCAAGTGTTGCGTATACTTGCTTGGAAAGGATGCCATCCTCTTGTGCATAGCATGTGCTTGCCAGATATGTGGTTACTGTGCATTTAAAAAGGACAGAGCTCCTAGTTTAGCAATCTAATATAGACTGAACCTCTCGAGACCAGCACCCTTGGGACCTGACCAGTGCTGAACCAGAGAATTTCCTGGATTACAGGAGGTCAATATTGTCTAGACACATTACCAATACTTCCACTGCTTACAGGGCTCTTAGAAGACATGTAGTGGGAAATTAGGGCTAAATTATAGCACAGAACACCAGGTCTGGTGGCTGTAAACAACCTTTATGGGACTGCAGGAAAGTTGGCCACACCCTTGATAAGTGGACATCTGGCTAATTAAAATCATGTCAGACCACAGATGTTGTTGGGCCAGAGTGCGGCAGACTAGAGAGGTTCAATCTGTAAAATGTAGTTAGAGAAGCTAATGTGAACTGAAGGCTTGTATGCCCTGTGGTGAGCGAGGTAGACAACTGGTGTACCTTGAACTCATAGGATTCTTCAATAATGACTTCTAGTTTGGTGTGTTCTCCCAGCACTGGGCGTCCCATTTCTGCAATGCGGCGCTCTTCCTCCTCTTTGCTCGTCAGTGGCTGTTTCTCTTCATTCTCCTCTGTAACAACACAGACAGCTTTTGAACAACACACAGTCTTTCACTTTCTGGTACTGGCTTCTGTCAGTAGCATCTATCTCTAAGCTAAAATATTCTCTGGGGCTAAGGCACAAGTGACAGACAGTTGTTGGCACAAGGTAGAAGACATTAAGCAATAGGCAAGTACAAGCGCTGAAAGGTTTTCTGTTGCAGATGGCTTGCCTGGGAGCGCTAGCAAATGAGATCACTAGCTCATAATTCTTCCACATTTCAAATCCCTTCCACCCCTATCAGGTCTTCTTGAATTCAGCCTGGACTATAGGGAAACATTCACAATCTCAGTCTCTATCAGCTATGGATGCTCCCCTGGAGCTGCTATGGTGGCAATTTTTAGGACAATTAATCTAAGGTGAGCTTGTCAAAAAGGCCTCTGTATTGGCCTCTCTCTGTCCCCAGTGAACCCAATGGTGAAATGTCCCTTGACTTTAATGGGAGCTGGATTAGGCCAGTGCTGAGTGTTTCTGAAAATCTGCATGCAAACCAGGCCACCCAGCCTATACAGAAGGGCTCAGCTATCTCAGCCACCCTGCCTGTATGTGAGCGACCGGCAACTGAAGGCATAGTCAAGGTTCACTGTGGCAAAAATATAAATAATCAACTTTACCTCTGGCCTCACCTAGCTTTTGAGTGCTTGACTTTGCACCCTAAACTTTCAAGTAATGGAGTATTGTGAGTGTAGTCAGGCAGATTCTGATCACGGTTAGTTATGTTACTGTAAATCCTGAGTAAAGTCATACCGTAGAGATTCCTCAAATCACTGAGCTCAGGACTGAGGGGTCTGATTTGTGGTACGCAAGTGGACATAGTGCATTCTCTTCAGGCACCGGACAATCAGAGCATAAGGCTTGTGTCAAAGACTGTGCAGTGCCCACATGTTTTTATAACTGATTCTGCACATGGAACAGATATTTCAGAAAACTATCCACAATGACTTCAAAAGCTCGTTGATCGAAAAAATAGAGAATAACTATTATTCAGCAAAGCTGTTAATTACTTTATTTACAAGGCTCCGCTCCTGGGCACACGGCGCATGCGTCCTCTCCCCGGCGTGCTGCGCACCTTACAGCTGCAATTGGGCGCACGGTGCCTGATGGCAGCTCTACCTGTTCTTAAAAACCTCCAGTGGCTGGAATTGCTAATAACATATTTTACACATGAACATGCTAAAAGCAAGACAAAAGTAGCATGGTGTGGCTGGAACCCTGACCGTCAGCACTGTTAGAGTGTGTCTATACTACAGGGTTTTGTCGACAAAAGTGGACTTTTGTCGACAAAACTATACCTGCGTCCACATTGCCTTTGAGTTATGTCGACATAACGTCGACAAAACTCAGCAGTTTTGTTGACGTATGTAAACCTCATTCTACGAGGAATAACGCCTTTTGATGACAGAGTTCTGTCGATAGAAGGCATTATTGCATCTGCACTGTCCTTTGCGTCCACACTGTTATGTCAACAAAGCGGCTTGCTTTGTCGACAGAACTGGATGTAGTCTAGACTCTCTTTGTCGACAGAAGCTTTGTTGACAGTATCTGTTGACAAAACCCTGTAGTCTAGACGAACCCTTAGAGGAAGGATTTAGTTTTAAACCCCAAAGGTGTTAGGCTCAATAGTTTGGCAAAAAGAAAAGAAAAGAACACTTTGGATCTTGGCCATGTCAGAACTGACTCTTTGCCTGGTGTGAGTCAACAAAACTTCACTGATGTCAGTGGAGACTATCTACCCAACTTCAGTGGTGCTATGCCAACTGACACCAGCTGGACCTGAGTGGAGTTTCACCTGAAAAACACCAATGCTCAGCATTTTCCATTCTTTTCTAGCAGCAGGTGGCTCTTTGGAATATGAGCATCAGCCGCCTTTTGTCTTTTACATTTGCTCTAAGACACCCAAGCAGCGCTTTCATAAACTATTCATCCCGCTCCCTTAATTCTGAGAAGCCACCTGTCTCCTTGTGGTTTTAGTTCCTCCCTGCCCCCATGAGCTGCTTCTCTTGCAGCTAAGCGCCCGCACAAACAAACAACTGCATATGCGGCGGCTGTCAAGGTCAATCATAAGAACGGCCATACTGTGTCAGACCCATCCATCCAGCCCAATACCCTGTCTGCCCACAGTGGCCAATGCCAGGTGCCTTAGAGGGAGTGAACCCAACAGGTAATGATCAAGCGATCTCTCTCCTGCCATCCATCTCCACCCTCTGACAAACATAGGCTAGGGACACCATTCCTTACCCATACTGGCTAATAGCCATTTATGGACTTACCTCCATGCATTTATCTAGTTCTTTTAAACCCTGTTATAGTCCTAGCCTTCACAACCTCCTCAGGCAAGGAGTTCCACAGATTGACTATGCGCTGTGTGAAGAAGAACTTCCTTTTATTTTTTTAAACCTGCTGCCTAGTAACTTCATTTGGTGGCCCCCAGTTCTTATATTATGGTGTGACAGGGCGCTCGCCCTGCACTGGCCCATTAAGGGCAGACCCCGGCCTGAACCAGGGCCGGGGAATTTAGCCCAGCTGAGGCTGTACTAGCCCATTAGGGCCCAGCTGGGCGCTATAATAGAGAATGGGCTGCTGCTGTGCGAGAGGGAGTGAGAACCTGGCTGCTGAGGGAGGAGGAGGCTCCCTGAAGCTAGGGCAGGGCTGGGGGGAGGCCAGGCAGGGCTAGAGGAGCTCTGGCCAGCAAATCCCCAGACTGCAGGGCTTGAAAGAAGGCCCGCTGGAGGAACATCAACCCCCGGAAGGGGGGCTCAGAGACAGACTTGGGCACTGCCGGAGGGCAGTGTGGCGAAGAGGACGCCGACAGATGGCAGGGGGGTTACGGTGGTGAGTGCACCCCCTCACATATGGGAACAAGTAAATAACTTTTCCTTGTTCACTTTCTCCTCACCACTCATGATTTTATATACCTCTATCATATCCCCCCTCAGTCTCCTCTTTTCCAAACTGAAAAGTCCCAGTTGCTTTAGCCTCTCCTCATATGGGACCCATTCCAAAGCCCTCATCATTTTAGTTGTCCTTCTCTGAACCTTTTCTAATGCCACTATATCTTTTTTGAGATGAAGAGACCACATCTGTACGCTGTGTTCAAAGATGTGAGCATACCATGGATTTATATAAGGGCAATAAGACATTCTCCAACTTATTCTCTATCCCTTTTTTAATGATTCCTAACATCCCGTTTGCTTTTTTGACTGCCGCTGCACACTCCATTCTGAAAATCTACCATTTATTCCTACCCTTTGTTTCCTGTCTTTTAACCAGTTCTCAATCCACGAAAGGACCTTCCCTCTTATCCCATGGCCATGTAATTTACACAAGAGCCTTTGGTGAGGGACCTTGTCAAAGGCTTTCTGCAAATCTAAGTATACTATATCTACTGGATCCCCCTTGTCTGCATGTTTGTTAACCCCTTCAAAGATCTCTAATAGATTAATAAGACAGGATTTCCCTTTACAGAAACCCTGTTGACTTTTGTCCAACAAATTATGTTCTTCTACATGCCTGACAATTTTATTCTTTACTATTGTTTCAACTAATTTGCCCAATGGGTGGATCTGGCCCACAGAGGCCCTCCTATTCCCCCATCCCCAGGCCAATTAAGGTCTGGGGGCAAGGGAGCACCCAAAGCCTTCTCCGCTCTGCCCCCACCCTGCTCACAGCATGCAGTGCTTCAAAGACTTTCTGGAAATCTAGGTAAACTATATCTACTGGATCCCCGTTTGTTGACCCCTTCAAAGAAATCTAATAGATTAGTAAAACATGATTTCCCTTTACAGAAACCTTGTTGACTTTAGCCCAACAAATTATGTTCTTCTATGTGTCTGACAATTTTATTCTTTACTATTGTTTCAACTATTTTGCCCGGTACTGACGTTAGACTTACCGGTCTGTAATTGCTGGGATCGCCTCTAGAGCCCTTTTTAAACATTGGTGTTACATTAGGTATCTTTCAGTCATTGGGTACAGAAGCTGATTTAAAGGATAGATTACAAACCATAGTTAATAGTTCCACAATTTCACATTTGAGTTCTTTCAGAACTCTTGGGTGAATGCCATCCGGTCACAGTGACTTGTTACTGTTAAGTTTATCAATTAATTCCAAAACCTCCTCTAATGACACTTCAATCTGTGACAAGTCCTCAGATTTGTCACCTACAAAGGACGGGTCAGGTTTGGGAATCTCCCTAACATCTTCAGCCATGAAGACTGAAGCAAAGAATTCATTTAGTTTCTTTTAAATAACTTTATCGTCTTTAATTCTACTTTTGTACCTAGATTGTCCAGGGGCTCCACTGGTTGTATAGCAGGCTTCCTGCTTCTGATGTACTTAAAAAATGTTTTGTTATTATCTTTTGAGGTTTTTGGCTAGCTGTTCTTCAAACTCCTTTTTTATTTTTCTTATTACATTTTACACTTACTTTGGCAGTGTTTATGCTCCTTTCTATTTACCTCACTAAGATCTGACTTCCACTTTTAAAAAGATGTCTTTTTATCTCTCACTACTTCTTTTACATGGTTGTTAAGCAATGGTGGCTTTTTTTTAGTTCGTCTACTATTTTTTTTTTAAATTTGGGGTATACATTTAAGTTGGGCCTCTATTATGGTGACTTTGAAAAGTGTCCATGCAGCTTGCAGGGATTTTACTTTAGTCACTGTACCTTTTTAATTTCTGTTTAACTAAACTCCTCATTTTTGCATAGTTCCCCTTTTTGAAATTAAATGCCACAGTGTTGGGCTGATAAGGTGTTCTTCCCACCACAGGAATGTTAAATGTTATTATATTATGGTCACTATTTCCAAGCGGTCCTGTTATAGTTACCTCTTGGACCTGATCTTGCTCGCCACTCAAGACTAAATCGAGAATTGCCTCTCCCCTTGTGGATTCCTGTACCAGCTGCTCCAAGAAGCAGTAGTTTAAAGTATCAAGAAATTTTGTCTCTGCATCTCGTCCTGAGGTGACATGTTCCCAGTCAATATGGGGATAGTTGAAATCCCCCACTATTATTGAGTTCTTTATTTTGATAGCCTCTCTAATCTCCCTTAGCATTTCATAGTCACTATTATTATCCTGGTCAGATGATCGATAATAGATCCCTACTGTTATATTCTGATTAGAGCAGGGAATTACTATCCATAGTGATTCTATGGAACATGTTGATTCATTTAAGATTTTTACTTCATTTGATTCTAAATTTGCTTTCACATATAGTGCCACTCCCCCATCCGCATGACCTGTTCTATCCTTCCGATATATTCTGTACCTCCAGAATGATTGTGTCCCATTGATTGTCCTCACTCCACCAGGTTTCTGTGATGCTTATTATATCAGTATCCTACTTTAACACGAGGCACTCTAGTTCACCCATCTTATTTTTTTGACTTCTAGCATTTGTGTTCAAGCACTTTAAAAACTTGTCACCATTTATTCGTCTGCCCTTTTCTGATGTGTCAGATTCTTTTTTATGTGAATGTTTTTCGCTTGATCTGGCCTATACTTTATCCTCTTCCATCCTCTCCTCTTGACTAAAACCTAGAGAATCTCTATCAATAGACTCTCCTCTAAGAGATGTCTCTGTCCGATTGACGTGCTCCTCTGCACCAATCGCCTTTCCTTCATCTCTATTAGCACACTTCAAAAAAAAAACTTATTTCTAGTCTCCATGGTACTTGCCTTTGTTGTTATTATTTGTGTGTACTGCGCTAGCACTGACAGACATCAGCTGAGATCCGGGCCCTGTTATGCTAGAAGCTGAACGTACATATAGAAATGGATTCTGGCTGCAAGAGCTTGCAATACACAGGGACAAATAGAAATAGAGGCACAAAGAGGAGAACTGACTCACTCAAGGTCACCCTGCAGGCTGCTTACTGCCAGCCCCACAACATAGCCTAACATGGGCTGTCGCTCAGATAACCAGCCTTCAGGACAAATATTCACAGCAGTGGGTAAGATGCGGGTCTGCAATATTTACTTCCATCTTTGTCTGCCCTCACAGAACAGATTGCCTCCCTCCCCCCAAGCCCGAGTCTCTCCACTACAAAGCAGAATCTGCAATGTTCTGATATGGTGATCCAGCGACCCAGGCCTATCACTGTTGTGGTTTAATTCTTTGCAGATTCAGAATGGATAATGATGAACTGAAAAGCCCTTGTCAGATTTTTGTGATGCTCTAGAACTCCGCGATGTGCTGGCGGGTTTGCGGTGAGGTACATTTCCCGTCCCTTAGCAATCAATGGGGCTAACATCTCAAGGTTGACAATAATGTCACCGTCACCTGGAACAAGCCAATTGAACACACAGGCTGCTTGAAGGCCTGACTCGTCAGTCTAGAATGGTTTTAATGGAAGCATCTGAGGTGCCAATCAAGGAGGGCATCTGTGTAACCCATTACAGATAGACCTGGCTGACCCTGCCTCCCACACAGTCAAAGGACTGGCTCTACTCCCCCATAGCCCTGTCTCTGCTTCTTGATTTGATCTGAGGAAGTGGGTCTGGCCCACGAAAGCTCATCATCTAATAAACCATCTTGTTAGTCTTTAAAGTGCTACATTGTCCTGCATTTTGCTTCTGCTTCTTGTGGGAGAGAGGAGTATTGGGGAGCTTGTAGCTGCTGGCAGATGGTCTTCTCTCCCTTTTAACCTTGCCAGCTGGCTGCTGCTGCCTCAGCAGGTCCAGGAAGGTAGACTCATCCAAGGCAGGATGGGAGCATAAAGGAGGACTCAAGAAAAACCAATTCCCCTTAAACTCTCCATGCCACACTTCCTCTCAGGACAAGAACTTACCCCAGAGAGTTTGGGAGGCATCACAGAGGAAGATTAGAAAACAGCAGCAAGTGTATAAAATAGCCCTGCTATTCACTTATCAAAGACCTTCCCAGGGTGAGACTCATCAGAACTCTGCCATAGTTTCATGTGAAAACTTGGACCCAACAGAGACTGGAACTGATTGGGGAGGGAAGCTATCCATAGTATATGCTGAAAAATACTGGGCATCATAAAGACATGAATATTACTGAAATGCATATTCTGAAGGGTGTGCAACACAGGTTAGACCCCCAGCTGGTGAAAATCCACATTGCTCTAATGTCTGCAAGTTCAACATTGTCTTTAATGGACTTATACGGATTTACACAGGCTGAGGCTAGGGGCCCTGAAGTGCACACACTGGCCATGGATCCCCATATGCCTGGTACCTCATATGGCCAAGCAGACCTGTTAGTAGTTTACAGCCATTTCGCCCTAATGTAAATACTGATGTAAGGTGCAAGGCAGTGGAGAAGAATCAGCCCATTATCCTTCAAAGTGTATAGTAGAATCATAGAACCTGAGGGCTGGAAGAGACTTCAGGGGATTATCAAGTCCAGCCCGCTGCCCAAAGCAGGACCAATCCCAATTAAATCAACCCAACCAGGGCTTTGTCAAGCCAAGACTTAAAAACCTCTAGGGATGGAGATTCCACCACCTCCCCAGGGAACCCATTCCAGTGCTTCACCACCCTCCTAGGGAAATAGTTTTTCCTAATATCCAACGTAGATCTCCCCCACTGCAACTTGAGCCCATTGCTCCTTGTTCTGCATCTGTCACTACTGAGACCAGCCTCTCTCCATCCTCATTGGGACCTCCCTTCAGGGAGTTGAAGGCTGCTCTCAAATCCCCCCTCACTCTTCTTTTCTGCAGACTGAATAAGCCCAAATCCCTCAGCCTCTCCTCATAGGTCATGTGCTCCAGCCCCCTAATTATTTTGGTTGCCCTCTGCTGGCCCCTCTCCAATGCGTCCACATCCTTTCTGTAGTGAAGGTTCCAGAACTGGACGCAATACTCCATATGTGGCCTCACCAGAGCCGAATAAAGGAGAATAATCACTTCTCTAGATCTGCTGGCAATGCTCCTCCTAATGCAACCTAATATTCTATTCGCCTTCTTGGCTACAAGGGCACACTGTTGACTCATATCCAGCTTCTCATCCACTGTAATCGCCAGGTCCTTTTCTGCAGAACTGCTACTTAGCCATTCAGTCCCCAGCCTGTAACAATGCTTGTAAGTAAGACACTCATGAGTTTGACTGACACCAGCCTCATCTGGATGCATGCATTTGATAAACCCATCTGTGTGATGCACACTTTACAAAGTATGCACATCTCCATGGGAACTTTGCACATGATGCCTGTCCTGACAGCTCCTTTCCACACAGGCCTGCTTTAATGTGTGGGGAAAGCTGTTGGGAAATCACAAGGTGTGCAAGAGGGCCTGTTCTGGAAGAAAAGCAAGTAACCTGGGGACAAGGGATGCAGTATGAGAAAGGTGAGGAAGGATACAGCACATGGACACAGAAAGCTGTCTGGAAAGGGATCCAGAGTCTGGTCAAGGTCTACATGGATTCCTGTCACTGAACTGAAAACCTAAAGAAATTCTGGGCCAATAACACTGTCAACCTGGGGTGAAAGGTAAAAGAATCTAGCACATGCTTCAGGCAAACATTGCTTGGAGAATAGGCAGATGATGACCCAGTGCCTGTGAGGTGAAGTAGGCCAATTCAAATCTTAAAATATATTTTAGAAATATGCACCTGTCTGTCTGTGAGACCATTTGTTCAAGAGCTAGGACCAACAAATTTGGCATGCAGCTTTCTCTTATCATAACTCACAGCAAGGTCAGGGGTTGGTTGTGCTAGGACAAGAGGATGTGCCTGGAATTTCATTGTTTCTCATAAAATAGAAAAGGAGTCTGGCAGAAGGGACAGTAATACTGCAGACTGACCACAGGCAGGCAGCAAGGAGCCAGAGATGGAGAGTGGGACAGCTATAACCCCATTGGTCCAACAGGGGTTTGTTTAATTTAATTTAATTTAATTTAATTTAATTTAATTTAATTGAGTTTACCTGTTTGTATTTATCTGTGTGCCTGTCCCCCAGCCGGGTAACATTTACCCTCTCATGGCTGTGCCTGTTGGAGCTGCAGTGGCCATGGAGAAGTGCTTCTCACCTGGCTCAATGCTGTCAAGGTGAGAAAGGGCTGGGGTTGTCCTCTCTTCACAAGGCAGCCTCCATACCGAACCCCTCATCCCCATCCTCACCCAAGAACAATGATTTAAATGAAGAAAAAGAAAACTTATTTGAGTTAAGGAACCAAACAACACTAGGTACATTTTCTAGTTAGAAATAAGGCTCCAATTTTTAATAGTGAGGGTGATTAACCACCGGAACTAAGTGAAGAGATGGATTCACCAACTCTTGAAGTCTTCAGATCAAGTCTGGATACCTCTCTGGAAGACCTGCTTTAGCCAACTCCAAGTCACTGGGCTCAGTACAGGAGTAGCTGATGGGATTCTTTGGCCTGTGATATACAGGAGGCCATACTAGAAGATCTAGTGGTCCCTTTGTGCCTAAACATTTATCAATCTGTGATCCCTACTCAGTCTCCTCAGGAAGTCAAGTGAAGATGCTGAAGTAGGCCAATTCAAATCTTACTATATATTTTAGAAATGTGCATCTGTCTGTCCATCTATGAGTTCATTTGTTCAAGAGTTGGGACCACTTGCACACAGCTCATTGTAGACCCTGCTATTGAAACTTGGTATTCCCTGAACTCAGTATAAACAAAAGGTGTGTAAAAAGAAAATCTCTAGAGTCAGTACATAAACACTCAAAAGCCATAGCTTTGTGTCAATGAAACAGTGGTCCTAGACAATGAAGTTCAAATGTATACCTTGAATGCTGATTACAGTAGAGGGAATTGGATGCTCTCTAGCATGGACCTTCCTGAAGACAGGTTTGCCTGACAAAGTGATGGGCAGAAGATGAGTGGATGGATCATAATGACTTGGTGATGTTAGTGAGCTCTATTTCTATTTCACACAAGGTTAGTGTGTTAGATTCCCATTGCAGACACTCTACCGGTTTGCTCTCCTGTACTGCTGAGAAAAAGCAGACCCAGAGATGAGGAATCCAAGAGATCGCCTTGTAGTCAGGGTGGCAAGCTAGAGACATCTATTTCCAGCACAGCTGGGCAAGTTCCAGCTCAGTGGCACTGGAAAAAACTTGAAAATTGTAGGTGGTGTTATTTAATGTTTTTACCTGTCCTGGTTTGGGCTGGTGCCTCAAGGTCTGATTCCATGTGCGCTTTTCAGACAAGCGGCCAGGGAGATCAGAGGTACATGAAGTACCTTGTTAGCCAAAAACTGTTTCCCTTTGTCTGACTTTGGCCCTCCTCATGCAGAGTCGCTCAGTGCCCCTTTCATCTTCTTACTAAGGGGGCTCTTCCCTAAGGCAGAGCTAACAGCAGAGCAACACTTCCAAGCTGTACACTAACCAAGGAGGCACGTGGGTCTGCTCCCTACTGGATAAGGGCAGAGATTTGGTGCCGCATGCATGGCCCACACACAACCCTGTGAATACACCTGCATGCTTGTCTAATTGTTTGTTCTAAAGCTTCAGAGGGGTAGCCAAATTCATCTGTAACTGGAAAAACTTAAAAAACAACCAATAGTCTCGCAGCACCTTAAAGACTATCAAAACATGTAGATGGTGCCATGAACTTTCATGGGCACAGCCCACTTGCCATTCTAATCTCTACTGAGCCCAGCTCCCCACTGCCTGGTGAAGCTTCTCTGGTCTGTGAAGGCAGCAAATCTCCATGCTGGGATGCCCTAGCACAGGGTCTGCACTTCAGAGAGCACAGAACTGTCTCTTCGACCAGCCCCTAGTGCAGACAGTTGTGGGGAAGAGAACGTGGCTGGAGTGCTACAATACTCCAGCTATCTCAGCTGATCCTGTGGCCCTATGGGGTTGTTGCAGGCAAGGGTAAATTAGAGCTAATGTGTGGTTGCTGTAATGCAGGCTGAGCTCTGAGCAGGCCATTAGGCAGCCCAGACTACAGGGAGATGCAGCAGTGGCATGGCATCCTTAGTCCCACACCAGGCTGCAGCAGGAGGCAGGAGTGTCTTCTGTGCAAAGACAGTTCCCTAGGTCATGTCACTGGGTTTGCAGGAACTCCTCTGAACATGCTTTTCAGATGGGCTAGCATGTCTGATGAGCTAATGCTCACACGCCAAAAGCACACAGGTGCTGCTCCCCAGCTGTGCCATAGCAGCCCTGCCTTTGCCATTCCAGCTCTGGCAATGATCTAGGATAAACCATCCTTCCTCTCTCAGAGTGTGTCTACACTACCACCCTAGTTCGAACTAGGGTTGTTAATGTAGGCAACCGAAGTTGCAAATGAAGCCCGGGATTTGAATTTCCCGGGCTTCATTTGCATCTTGCCGGGCGCCGCCATTTTTAAAGCCCCGCTAGTTCGGACTCCGTGCCCGCGGCTACACGTGGCACGGAGTAGGTAGTTCGGATTAGGCTTCCTATTCCGAACTACCATTACTCCTCGTGGTATTTCTCACTAATCCCTCTCTGATAAAAGGGAAACAGACCCAGCCAGCCATTTTTGCTGACAGAGAAATGCAGTTACATGGCCCCCAGCACCTGGGGACAGGGATCTAATCCCTATTCTTCTGCGGAGTCTGGACACAGCTCTCAGGGAAGGTAGCGGGTGTCCTGGTGACTTGTACAGCGCCATGCATGCTGCCTGCATTTAGGGCAGTATGCTTGGGGCAACAGGCAGCTGGTCTGTGAAGGGGGAGCTGGTTTTCAAACTGACACAGAGGCAGCAGCGCAGAGTGGAAGGGGGCTCCCCAGGAGTGGGGCTGGAGCACACTGGCTGCCGACCTCACCCCCGGGACTATAGAATAGGCGAGTAACCAATAAGAATTAATGGGGTCAATTGACTATTCAATTAACTGATATTTAACAGCCCTACTGGACAGATAGTCCCTCCTGCTGCCACAGATACACTGCTATGCTGCACACGCATCTCCCTGAGCAGGAAACCAGCTCCAGCAGTAGCCTGGCCCTGGGAGAAAATCCCTCTGTGGCAGGACTGTGGACAGCCCGAGGCTGCCTCCCACAGGACCCTGTGCAGGAACCGGCTGGTGTGGCACAGGGTGCTGGGGTCCCAGAGGCTGTGAGAAGCAGCCCAAGGAGAGGCTGTGGCTCATTCCCCCCTCCCCAGGGCTGTGAGTTCTGCGCTGAGGTAGTCTTCCTAGTAAGACGTATAATCCCTGCAGCTGAAGGACCGGGGTTACTGTGAAACAGGCGTGAGGTTAAGGCGATACAAGGCACATCACTCGCTGTTAGATGGGGATGTGCTACCACTAGCAGCTCTCCGCAGGTGGCAAGGAAACGGAACAGACTTTCTTACCATTCAGATGTTTCCCTCCATTAAAAAATAAACAGGAAATAAAGAGAGAAGAGCATAATGAGCACCAGCAGTTAACAACGCAGAGAGAACAGTAACATGGGGCAAGGAGGGAATCAGAAATCCATACCTGTTATTGTGAAGCCACCTAAAGGAATCACAAAACAAAAGAGAGAGAGAAAGAGAGACAGCAGATTAGCATCTATTTCACATCATGACAGTGATATTCATCTCGCAGCAGCCTGCCCCCTGAGCAGTGGCCCACACACTCCTGCCAGTGTGCTCTGAAGGGGAACGGCTTACTAGCCGTCTGTCTCCTAATGCTGGCAGGGACTGTCCCCTGCCTCAAGTCTACACGGAGTGGCATGGCCCCCACACACCCTGCCAGACCTCTGAATGTAGGGCTCTGAATAGGTGGGGGGGAAGCAAGAGACAGCAGGCCTAGGGGCTGGATACATGCCAGCCTCCCTCCCACCCCACGTGGCTTAAGACAGCAACTCCTGGATCAACTTCTTCCACAGAGTCACCCAAGAATCACGGGGACAGCTGCAGCCAGGGCCCCCGCCATGATCACTCGGGGAAGGTGGTTTGCTCCTTGCTCCACAGATCCAGGAACCAGCCTCCCTTCTGCCCTGGCACTGTGGACCCTATGGAGTCCCAAGGAGGCCAGCGACAGTACTACAGAGTCCTTTAGCCTCCTCTGCAGCTGCTCAGTCCCCAGGCAAACCCCACTGTTCATAACAGCCACATGGCTAGGCCACGGCCATGGCTGCCCCCAGGATCTCAGCTCCTGCTATCTCTTCCCAGGGACAGGTGTGGGTGGGGATGTGGTTTTCCTTGGACCCTCTCTTGCAGCACACAGCCTGGACTAGTGGCCAGCCTCCAGTGGGGTACAGGCTGTTCACAGGGCTGGTGCTGTGGAGATGGCTAACCCTCCCTTCCACCCATGGTAGCCCTCTTTGGGATATGGGTAGGGCCGGGGAGAGACACGGGTTCCTAGGTTCATTCTGGCAGGTTCTACCCTAGCAGTGGCCAATCTAAGCCCAGTATGGGCTGTGCAAAGCACTTTAAAGATTCAGAACAAAGCTGAGCTGTGCAAATCTATTCCTCCCATGCAGTCCAGGCACGAGACACAGGGTATTTCTAGGGGGTGGCAGTGGCTAGAATCCCACAGTAGATAAGATCGAAAGCCCCACAGCTACTGTCCCTCCTTTCAAGCCAGCTTTGCCCAAGCGTAGGGCACAGACCAGAGGGAGGGATGCACAGAACTCAAACTGATGCAACGTCCTCTCATTTAAAGCAAGTTACTCTTCTGTGAGTCTTTCTTTATGGGGGGAGGAAGAGAACATTTTCAGCAGTAAAAGCACTGCTGGGGTGGGTGTGAGAGGACCATGCACTAAATCTCAGCTGAAGCTGGGTAGCTTTAGGACTACATGGAGGCCTGTTCAAGAGGGATAGATTCAACGGCGGGGAAGAGGAAGGGCCCTTCCACCACCATGTCCATGAAACCACTGAGTGCTCAGACATCTCTAGAAACATTCCTTGTTTACCCACAGCAGGGTCAAAGTTCTGTTCCTATTGAGTTACCACTGCCCAGAGCAGCAATTTTTATAGTGGTCCAATGCTCACAGAAATGCCTGAGAGTGTTTGCATTGAGCCAGTGAGCTATGGCTAAGGCCTGGGTTTTGATTTTCCAAGGTAGCCTGCAGAATGCTTTAGCTTCACTTGGGCTCCCTCCTCCCATCTGGTGTATTTGTGCCCCCCCCCCTTGGCATAGCCTGTATGTGGGGTTTGCAGGCTGGTTTTGCAGGGTACCCTAAGGAGGCAGCATGCTGTACCTGCCACAAAACAGCACATAGCGTTTTCTTGATGCATTTAGTAAGAGTATGGCCACCCTGGGGAGTCATAAGGAAGGAAGGGAGATTAAAATACTATCACTATTCTGGACTAACTCCTTATGTGCACACACGGATTCCCAAATCAGAGCGTGCACGGGGCAAAGTATTCTGGCCAGAATGGTGCCAGGTAGTTCACACATTCTGTTTCTCACCCCTACATAACAGGATGTGGATTAGTTTGCACAGCTCAGTTCTGTGGATCATTTCTGAAACTCTTAGAGCTTTCTGCAGCTTTTTGTTACAGATGAGCTCATTGTACCCAGTGAAATGGATCAGAAGGATAGTAGGACACCTGAGGAGTCAGTTGTATTGGATGTAGCCACTAGAGACCAGAGTCCAATACCCATGCTCCCATTCAGTAGAGAGTAACCCCTAGTAATCCCATTGGGATTACTTGTGGAGTTACTCAGTGCATGTAAGGGTGGCAGACTATGACCCTAAAAATGTTTATTGTTTAGGATTTCCAAAGGCACTAGCTACCCAAATCCCAGTGAAATGATGTTCCTAACCCCCGTAGGCACCCTTGTCATTATAATTAATGCCACTTTCATTTATGTTTTTAGCCATTGTTCCCTACTTTGACACAAGTGTTCATGTCTCAGCTAAAATTTTTTGGAGCATATACCCAAAGAAGAACTTTATCTAAATAACCTGGGCTTAGTAAATGGTATAAACAGCCTTTAAAGAGATTCTCATGAGCAAAAAGAAAAATCAAACAAAATAATTTCTACCAATATACAGACACACTGGAAAAATGGAAAAGAAATACAAGAAATGCAGCGCTTACCAAGCTCATTCAACAACAGGGCTGTGAAGGAGACAGGCAGAGACAAACACAGAAGAAGAAAAGTAAATGAATAATGAAATTAAAAGGAACATCCATGGAAAGACTCCAGCTCTCAGGCCCAGATAATGCAAATCTGCAAAGTTTCAGGATACCATTAGTACCCAGAAAAGAGCATTGAAAATAATTCACCAGAAACATTTAATTAGTGTAGGCTGTGAATTAAAAGAAAAAAATCATGTCACATACAGTAATAAGGTATAAAAGACAAACTAAAAAAATGCATTTCCCACCTCTGAGCCCTGTATTCATGGAGCACCCATGAACTGAATGGCAGTACTGCCACAGGCTGAGGAAAGAAAATGTCCCCAAAGGTGTAAGTAGGGGCTGTTTGTTGGATTCTTTTACTTTCTCTAATAGTCTAAATGGAAAATAATAATTACCTGATGGCCTGATTTCTACAGGGAATGCAGAATGAAAGAAATACAGTTTGTGCTAGGGCCTGACTCACCAAATATAACACAGTATTTAGCCTGTCATTTAGCAAAATAAGAGTTTAAGCCCTGATAATAAATAACTGTATCATTTAGCATTCAGGTAGCACCATGGATCTTTGAAGAGCTGAACACTCTAACTAATTACTTCTAGCTATACTCTAGTGAGGTATTAAGATCAGGAAGCATTAACCCTTTTCAAAGGAAGGGAAACTGAAGCATACAGAGAATCAGGCCAATATTTTCAAAAGCAGCTGCTGCTGCTGTTAGGTACCTTAATTTTTGGCATACCTAAGTCTGATTTCAAAAGCTGAGCTTACAGTATTGCCAGCCCCAAGAGTTCAAAAGTTTTATGTCAGTCCTCAAAAATTGGTTTAAAATCATGAGATTTTTAAAGAAATAATATATTATGTTTCTTTTAATTTTCCTGCTGGCTACTGGGCTTTAAGGAGCTTTGGCTTCACATTTTCAAGCCTTCCCCTGTAACCATGAGAGTTAAATGAAAGCTGAGACTCTCATCATGTTATCACTATTCCAGCAGCAGGAACTTTAAAAACACTCAAGACTCACAATAAAACCGTGAGAGTGGACAACACTGTGTCCATGCTATGTCAATGGATAGCTTTTAGTGTCAATGGTTCATTTTATCTTGGTGACACAAAATGATTTTAATAGTAGTGGTGCAAATCCTACTCACTGGGCTTCTATTGCACTGTGCTACTGTGTCAGATTTAGTGGAATTTTCCATGAGCCAATAATCCTATGGGGTATCCATCTAGACACAAAGCAGGGGGGTCCATGTGCAATGCTCTCTCTTGGGACAAATGCAGCCCTCTCCGAGGAATCCATCTAATGCTATGTACTGGCAGCTTCTCCCCTTTCAGTGTCCTAGGCTAGAGAGGGAGCAGGAAGCCTCGTGCTTCCATGCAGGAGGCAGCCAGAAGGATGCAGCTAGTTCTAGCTCAGTACCTTGGAAATGAAGAGGCTCGCACTAATGCCTAGCAGCACTAAATGTTATGAGGCTGTATTTCTGGATGGATCAGGCCATAGTTCACATTCCGCTGGGCACCTTGAGCAGGTGGGAGGAATAGCAAGGTGTACCTCTTTGTCTAAAGGCTATAGGTGAATAAGGGCTAGGCTCTCCTCAGTATGCCACGAGCACCATGGGGCAATTCACTGGTCCCTCTATGCACAGCTGGCATAAACTGACTGGGGAAAACTGCTTGAAAGCCGCAGAGCTGGCAGCCTCTCTCATCTTAGGCATGCGGTAGCACTTGTACTCTGGCTGGTGTCTAGTGAATTCAGCTCCTCCTCTAGCACAGCACGCTGGCTCTTGCTGCCTTCTTGCGCATAGCTCTTCCAATGCAACTAACCTGCTAGGAAATGCTGGTTACAGTACAAGGCAGGGATGTCTGGCTGATCCCTGTGCTCTCAGACTGCCTGATAAATGCACTAATTGCATTCATCCCTTTCCTCCTCGCTCTCCTAGAAATGCACTCTGAGAAAGATGTGCCTTTGACCAGGACTAGAAATGTACCCAGCTGCAAGAAAGGCCTGGATCCAGAGCCACTCAACAACTCATTGTGTGAGCAAAAGTTAGTTTTTCCAAAGGCAGAATTGTTTGAACAAGATAAAATGATGCATTTTACTTAAGTAAAGATTAATCGGATTGAATTTCTTGTCTGTGTCATTTATTAAACTAATGCAGATTATTCTCTTCTTTCTTTTGTATTAACTAGCTGAATTATTCGTTTAAAATCAGACAGCTAGCAGTGAATAAATATGTTGTATTCCATTTTTTCTGTAATAAGGGTTGGGTTTTTTGTTTGTTTGTTGTTATTGTTGGGGTTTTTTTTTGCTTACAGGAGCTAACTTGCTTGCTTGTCTATGTGCATCTTTTCTTATGGGTTTCTTATTTCCTTATGGTTTTGATTATTTGTGTTATTATACCAGATTATAACAGCTTCCCGTGGCTCCCCTTGGCTGCAAACAGCGAACTACAGCCAATGGAAGCCACGAGGCTCTGGCTATGGAGCCAGTAAATAAACAAACTGGAGTGGCTAGTTAGTAGGTTCCTCAGAGTGGATCCATGGACAACTTTGAGAAACACTGACCTAGATGATGAGCTAAATGAAAAGGGGAAAGGAACTAGAATAAACAGTATCATATTTCAGCTGAAATACACTAACATTGGATAGACATTAAGTTATTTTAGCCCTCGATCCAACGAAGAACTTCAGCAAGTGTGAAACTAAGCATGTAGCTCCCTTCACTGAAATGGAACTACTCATGTGACACATACGGGGCCTGATCCATGCATGTGCTGAAGCCCATCTCTATTTAAGGCAGCAATTATGGAGACACCTAATTGTAAGCACATCCTTAAGGCTTTCCTGAATGAGGGCCACGCTTACTTGCTTAACTGGTTCAGGGCCTTTGTCAGCAAATGAGCTAATTTTGTCTATAAGAAGGGAAGCCTATTTCTTTGGGGTGAAATGCCAAGGTGCAAGGAGTCCAAACAACACCCTTTGCACCACTGCTGTCCTGCACTATGTTTGGGAGAGGGGCACAGGGTGGATGTGCTGGATGTAAGAACCCGACAGCATGCCTATTGTGATGTAGAGGTAGACTTCATGGTGAGACCTAACAGGCTAGCATGGAAGGGTCATTAATGGTTGCCATGGCTGGACTGGGGGAGGGGCTATGGGATCTATGTTTATGTTGTCCCAGACTCCGGACTCCCACATAGAGGGCATAGGTGAGATAACACCACTATTCCAGCTGGCCCCCATTTAGCAAAGCCTTTAACAACGTACCTAAGTCTCAGACTCAGAGATTGGAAGGTGAGAAGGGACCATTATGAACACCTAGTCTGACCCTCCATATAGTAGAGCCAGGAAAACTCATCCAATGCTTTCTGCATCAAGCTCCTGCCTTTGTATGCAGCTATAGAATCTTTCCTGGAAAGAAAAGTGGTCTTCAAGAGACTCCACCCAACACATCCCTAACCTAGGAAGTGTTCCAAGAGTTAATTAAGTAGGCTGAAAGTCAAAAATGTGCATCTTATTTCTAGTCTCATTGTGTCTAGCTTCAGCTCATTATGCCCTTTCCTACAAGATTATGTTCTTATGTTCTTATTAAAGAATACTCTATTAGTTAAAATCTCTTCTCCCATTAGATACTTGCAGACCATGAGCAAGTCACCTCTTACCCTCTAATCCTGGGATTCAAAGGTTAAAGAAGGGCTCAAGTTCTTTGGTGAATTAGGGCCTAAATTACATGATAATAATATTTTATAATACAATCTAATGATTCTTAAGGGAGAAGATATTACCTAGAAATTAACCAGGAAATCAAAGAGACAAAATGCGGCTAACAACATTTGGGTTTTTTTCAAAGTCTGTTTTATTGCAACTAATTATTCAGGAATATTATGTTATTGCTATAATGCCCTAATTAGCTATCAATAATTCATGAAATGAATCACTAACTTTTTAGGAAAAGAAACTTCTTAGAAAAATTAGCAGCACTTTACTTGTTATGAATATGTTTGCAGTTGCTTTAGTGCAGGGGTGGGCAAGAGAGCCTCCACAGGCTGAATTCGGCCCGCTAAGCTGACTGATCCGGCCCGCGGCCACCCTGCCTTTCCCCTGTCCTCAGGCCAAATGAGACCTGGGGACGGGGGAGCGCACAAAGTCTCCTCCCCCACCAAGGGCATGTGGTGCCTACAGTGAACCGCCAGCTGTTTTGAACAGCTGGAGGTTCACTCTAGGTGCTGCGTGCCCCTTGCAGGGCAGGGAAAGGGGATGAGAACGTTTGTGTTCCCACACCCCCAGGCAGGAGCAGTGCATGAAGTCTCCTCCCACTGCCAGGGGCACATGTCACCCAGAGGGAACCACCAGCTGTTCAGAACCAGCTGGTGGTTCTTAGGGGCGGGGGGCAAAGACTTCACACATTCCCCCTGCTCCCAGGCCAATCAGGATCTGTGGGCATGGGAGCAAGGGAAGTGTCTTGGCCCCATGCCTTCCACCTGAGGCCCTGCCCCTTCCAGGGCAGCATGGGGCCACTTCAGAAATTTGTGAAGTGCCCCCCCTTCTAAAATTATTGCCCACCCGTTTTAGAGAAATGTTTGAATTTTATGTGTTGGACACGCTTTTCATTACGTGTATAAGAAGTACTTTCAGAGCATTTTACCTATTTACTTCTGATGCCCTGGATGAAATCCTGACTACAGACATTCTACTGGCATTGCCTAGTTTGGAACTACTTTCATATCTCACGGTATTCTTATTACCAATGTAAAAAATTTAAAAACATTGTGTTAAGAATGTGATTTTGACTTAACAGGACTACTTTATCTCCTGCTAAAAATGATCCAGTATCCTCTTCTAATTAAAAAAGAGACTGCTTCTAGATTAAAATAATATTTATATATGCAATCTCTGTGCTGTATATTTTGAATACACAACTGAAATGTCTCTGTGATACTGTTGCAATAGTTATTAACAGTTTAGGATTCACACTCTCTGTTCTCACATTGCATGTGCTGGAATCTCAGACCCACTTTAGTATCTATGATCCCTTTGTGGGGGTTTAGAGGCTAAACTCCTGCTTGACAGCACCTCTGCAGTGTGTGTAAGATTATCCCTTTCTAGGTAGTGTGCAGAGGACATGAATCATTAGTGATTTATTCACTGGATTGTTTTTATTTATTGCCTCATAAGTGGGAGTAGTTCACAGATGAACACTTGACAACAGTCAGCTTGTATTTAGTGCCAATCCGGCATCAGTGGAAGCAAGCCAGAGGGACCAAAGTATTCCCCCCCAAACAATAAAAAGGTAAAGTTGCTAAGCTTGAGAGGAGATATGGCAAAATCTTTGGAAGCCAAGTGCGAGGAGAGAGCAAGTGTGAGAGTAGAGAGACAGAGAAAGCAGACTACAATTTCTCGAGAGTTTGTCTGGTTTTACTCTCACACCTTTCATTCCTCTTCGTAGCCATATTGGTTCCTCAAGCACAAGGTAGAAACTGCACTCTTTCTCATACTCCTCTCGGTCAAGTATTTTAAGGGTAATGAATTTCCTGTGGGAACACAAGACAAAGGCAAAACAAATGGTTGGCGTCACACACTCATGCGTTAAGTTCAACCAGGCGAGATGGTTACCAAGATGATATGAAGGGAGGCGCATATCTGCCTCAGTTACTTATGTCAAAGAGCAGAAAGTCCATTGCTTCACCTGGTCTGTTTCATTCTGAAAAGGAGCCACTCCACACACGGAACTCTGGGATAAAGTAGAGAAGGTTACTTTGTGGGATGCTATTGTTCATGCATTACAGCAACATTAGATGGAAAAGGAAATCTGAACACCAGAGGGTTGCAGCCAACCTGCATTTGGAGTCTATTCATAGCTTTGTGCTAAGTATCTGAGCCATCCAAGAGGATGGACTGGGGGGTTTTGCTTTTAGGAACAGTAGCACCCCAGCAATTTCCTTGACTGATGTAAGTCTTCATAGCTCCACTGAAATCAATGGAGCTACGCTGATTTATGCCAATTGATGATCAGGCCCGTGACGTCTGAATTTAAGTACAGAAAACCGAAATTGGAGTCCAAAGGTCAAAGAAAAAGGTTCCCAGCTCTAGGCACTGGTGGCTTGGCTCCTGCTCTTTGACATAGATTAAGCAAGGCATGTTTTAGATTGCATGTATTGGAAAGTGCCAGGCATCCATGAGTGATCAGGACAGGTGCACACAGGCTGGGCTCAGCCTCAAAGCAGATCCCCCACCTTTCTTCTCACTCATCTCCACCAGCCGGGGCTCCCCAATCTCAAGGTAGAAGGTCTTGTTTTTCTCATACTCCTCATCATCAATTATTTTGACTGATATGGTTTTGCTGAAACAGAGAAGAATAGAGATTCAAGAGTAAGAGGAGAAAGGGAGAGTAAAGAAAAGGAGAAACAGGATGGAGGACAGAGTTATCAAAAGGAGATTAGTTTGGGCAAAGACTCATAAAGCAATTATCTCAAGGTGCAACCACAGAGCATGCTACAGCATTCTACAGTAAGGCTCAGGTGTGACACTGAAATGCACCTTTGGAACTCTGGGGCTGAGGTCACATCTGAACTGAGTAGAGGCAAACTCCATGGACAGGTATGGAATCAGCACCATCAGTCCAATGGCTGCACCTCTGGATCGTCATAATATGTGAAATATATGTGGTCATTGCCAAAGTAACCCTCTCTGAGAAAGGAGCGGATTGCCCGTAAGCCACGTGAGGTCCCCAAGGAGGAGGAGAGATGAAGCACATGAAATCCCACAGAAGATGCAAAGGCCCCTCTCTCAAGTTAGCCTACCCCAATGAAAGCTAAGGAAAGTTAAAAATGAGCAGCAGGCTCCTCAGAGTGAGAGACAGAAAAGCAGAAACCCTGATAAGATGGAAAGGACCTTCCTTTTGAAAGCCCTACTCTGGGCTTTCTGTAGAATGTGTGTGCATGTACTCACGTTCCCACTGCAGTACTACTGTCTCAGCCAGGTCAAGGGTGTCTGCATTGGCATGGAATGGAAACAGGCCTGGTGGGATAGCAGCTTGGAGGTCCCATCCTTTCCTGTTCCCATGGGCTCTAAATCCAAAGGGGAGCATTGGCTGGGGCCACTTGGCCGTCACTCTGTTAGGCCAGCTTTACATGTGCTTGCTCCCATCTGGAATTCATACAGGACAGAGTCTTTCCAAAGAGCGATCAGTCTGTGGCCTTTTAAAAACAAGCACAGCTCCCAGCCTCGCATACCTATGGGAGCCTCCCTGAAGTGGGCTCGGACAGTGTCACCAGGAGATCTGGGCATGTTGGTCCCTGGCTCTTGCTGCATCACTGTGATTGTTGCTATGCACAGGCACAGGTTTAGTGCTGAAATATTCTCTCATCCACCAAAGACAATGAGACCTTTGCTTACACACATACAGAGTAAGAACTGAGGGCTTCACATTGCACCCTCTTGGGACCCATTCTCCAGACTCCAGGCCTTGCAGGAGAGGCGTTCCGTCTCTGCAGTCTGCTCCCATCCTCACAAACCTGCAGGCTCCATGGAGTCCTGCTCTCCAAAGCTGGGAGGGATAACTGAGGAGAGGGATGCTGTTTGGGCCCCAACCTGTGGGGAACACTCTGCACCCCTCTCTGTGTGGGGGATCTCCATCTCTTTAGGGAGTGGCATGCGATAGCCCCTGCAGTTGTAGCTCTGCAGGGGCCAAGAACCACCCAAACCTCTCCTCAGCTGCAGATCCCCACAGAGCCAAGCAGATCTGCAGAGATATGAGGTTAAAGAGGCGAGCTGCAAACCATGCTGCCAGACAGAAAAGCTTGGAAGCAAGATCCGCCCCCACCAGGTGATGCTTGTTGAGTTCTTTCTCCTCGGCTGGCAGGAGAATAGGACCTGAATGAGGATGCTGGAATTTGGCCCAACGTGCATGGCCCGGTGGCCCTTAATGTCAGACTCCCACAGGCTAAGCTCCTCTTTGACATATGAGCCCCACAACTTCTGACTCCATCCCCTCCCCTCCAATCCCACTCTTGGGAAAGACTTACTACCCTGATGCCCGCAGTGAAAAGCCATTAATGCGAGACATAACTGAAACCAACCATTCTCCCCAGGAGTGAGGATCTGAGGAAATAACCTTACAAAGGGCTAAAACCATTTTCAGTAGGCAAGGATCTCTTCTGTGGAGAGCAGACGTTTACCTGTAAAACCACCACTTAACCTACTTGCCTTCGCCTTTATGTACTCTCTGATTTGTGACAATTCAGTTGGCCTGCATTAGCCCAGGCTATTACAGCCTAATGATTCAGCCTCTGCTCTTCCATTATCTGTAAATGGTGCCTTTCGTGTCCATATTAGGTGTCCATATTAGGCTGGCATGTGACGTTCAGAGACGTGAGGCAGCCTGGGTCTCTGAGCAAGGATGGACTCTGTGACCTCACTATATAAAAGCCACAGGCTTCAGCTGACATTTGAAACTCAAAACAAACTAATCACTTACCCCCTCGAAGCTAGCAGAGAATGTTTCAATGAGAATGTTACAGATGAAAACAACAGTCGCTCACAGACACAATGTGCCCATGCATACGACAATGCATTCAAGTCTGATTTTAAAGCTGTCTTTTTTTAAGCCAGTGGCCGATAGGTTTCTATACCTTTCATAGCATCATAGAATTCTAGGGCTGGAAGAGACCTCTGGAGGTCATCAAGTCCAGCTCCCTGCCCAAATAGGACCAATCCCAATTAAATCCAGAGTCTCAAAAACAACCCGGACATTATAATCAAACCAGCTGACAAAGGGGGTGCTGTGGTCATTATGAACAAGTCTGACTATGACCAGGAGGCAACTAGACAACTCTCCAACAACACATTTTACAAACCTCTCTCCTCTGATCCCACTTTAGAATACCGAAAGAAACTACACTGTCTCCTTAAAAGCCTCCCTACAGCTACTAAGGAACAAATCCACACAGAAACACCTTCTGACCCCCGACCAGGATTGTTCTATCTGCCTCCCAAAATCCATAAACCTGGACACCCCGGACATCCCATCATCTCTGGTATCAGCATGCTCACTACTGGTTTATCCAGCTATGTAGATTCTCTTCTCAAACCCTACGCAACCAACACCCCCCAGCTATCTCCGAGATACTACTGACTTCCTGAGAAAACTACAAAACGGACGCCCCATCATCTCAGGTATCGGCACGCTCACTACTGGATTATCCAGCTATGTAGACTCTCTTCTCAAACCCTATGCAACCAACACTCCCAGCTATCTCCGAGATACTACTGACTTCCTGAGAAAACTACAAAACATTGATAACCTCCCTGATAACACCATCCTTGCCACCCTGGACGTAAAAGCTCTGTATACCAACATCCCACATGAAGATGGATTACAAGCAATTAGAAACACTATCCTAGAGGATACCACTGCCAATCTGGTAGCAGACCTATGTAACTTTATTCTCACCCACAATGATTTCCAATTTGGGGACAACTTATACCTACAGATCAGATAGAGGAGGTATGATCTTTGAAAAATCATGGCAGACAGGGGAGATTCCAGAAGACTGGAAAAGGGCAAATATTGTGCCCATCTATAAAAAGGGGAATAAGAACAACCCAGGAAACTACAGACCAGTCAGTTTAACGTCTATCCCAGGGAAGATAATGGAGCAGGTAATTAAGGAAATCATATGCAAACACTTGGAAGGTAATAAAGTGATAGGGAATAGCCAGCATGGGTTTGTGAAGAACAAGTCATGCCAAACTAACCTGATAGCTTTCTTTGATAAGATAACGAGCCTTGTGGATAAGGGAGAAGCGGTGACTGTCATATACCTAGACTTTAGTAAGGCATTTGATACAGTCTCACATGATATTCTTATTGATAAACTAGGCAAATATAACTTAGATAGGGCCACGATAAGGTGGGTGCATAATTGGCTGGATAACCGTAGTCAGAGAGTTGTTGTTAACGGTTCTAAATCCTGCTGGAAAGGGATAACAAGTGGAGTTCCTCAAGGGTCTGTTTTGGGACCCGTACTGTTCAATATCTTCATCAATGATGTAGATATTGGGATAGAGAGTACTCTTATTAAGTTTGCAGATGATACCAAACTGGGTGGGGTTGCGACTTCTTTGGAGGATAGGGACATAATTCAAAATGACCTTAGCAAGTTAGAGAAATGGTCAGAGGTAAACAGGATGAGGTTTAATAAAGAGAAATGCAAAGTGCTCCACTTAGGAAGGAACAATCAGTTCCATACATACAAGATGGGAAGCGACTGTCTAGGAAGGAGCATGGCGGAAAGGGATCTAGGGGTCATAGTGGACCACAAGTTGAATATGAGTCAACAGTGTGATGCTGTTGCAAAAAAAGCAAATATGATTCTAGGTTGTATTAACAGGTGTGTTGTAAGCAAAACTCGTGAAGTCATTCTGCCGCTCTACTCTGCACTAGTTAGGCCTCAGCTGGAGTACTGTGTCCAGTTCTGGGCGCCACATTTCAAGAAAGATGTGGAGAAATTGGAAAGGGTACAGAGCAGAGCGACAAGAATGATTAAAGGTTTAGAGAACATGACCTATGAAGCCAGGCTTCATGAACTGGGCTTGTTTAGTTTGGAAAAAAGAAGATTAAGGGGGGACATGATAGCGGTTTTCAAATATCTAAAAGGGTGTCACAAGGAGGAAGGAGAAAATTTGTTCCTCTTGGTTTCTGAGGACAAGACAAGGAGTAATGGGCTTAAATTGTAGCAGGGGAGGTTTAGATTGGACATTAGGAAAAAATTCCTAACTGTCAGGGTGGTCAAATATTGGAATAAATTGCCAAGGGAGGTGGTGGAATCTCCCTCTCTGGAGATATTTAAGAACAGGTTAGATAGACATCTGTCAGGGATGGTGTAGACGGAGCTTGGCCCTGCCTTGAGGGTGGGGGGCTGGACTCGATGACCTCTCGAGGTCCCTTCCAGTCCTATTATTCTATGATTCTATGATTCTATCAGTGGCATAGCCATAAAATATAGAGGGCTGAAAAAGTCTTCTGGAAACAGTTCCCTGAAAGCCATCATCTACAGCTAATCACCAAGCAATGAAGTCAGCCACTCTGAGCTAAGCCATAAGGCCAGAACTACCATGGCATACTTTAAAGACGTGAATGTTAAGGTGAATGAGTTATGTAAGCAAGAAAGGCCCCCTGAGGAATGTGTGCATATGTTGGAGACATGTTCTAAGTAACACATATGCATATATAATTGACCTATATAAGGAATATATAATAATCATCATTAATGGGTTATCCTTTTAAATCCTTGAATAACTGCCCAAAATTAAAACTTCATTTTGAGGGTCCTTTGTGTC